TGCACATCTGGTATGTTTGCCCTCGGGCTGCATTGCGTGTGTCAGTACCTCCCAGAACAGCAGCAGGTAAAACGCTGCAATGCTGTAGCCCCTGCAGTATACATAACTGACCTGTTTTTTTTTTCCAACAAAAGAGGAGTTACGCTTTAATGAGTTAATTCATAAGGTTTTTATTCCCCTCCAGCCCTCGCTCGGGAAAAAAAAATCTTACAAAACACAATCCAGGCTTCGTTCATTCAGACATCAGCCAGCGAGCTTAGAACACTGAAGGTAAAATTCCTCCAAAGCCCTTTTACAGATTTAAAATTCAGCCTGACCTTTTGAAATGAGCCTTTTTATAATGCCCCTTTTACTTGGTAACACAAACAGACATTTTGTCAAAATAAAGTTGCAGTGAATGTTTAATGCTTTGAGCTGCCTTGAGTCTAAGCTCATTAGCTTTTATTGTAATCCTCCTTTTCTGGTGTCCTTGCTTGTACACTTTTTATTCTCCTTTTTTTTTTCTTTCTTTTCTTTACTGTTCACCAGCATACACTGTACATGTACAAAAAAAAAAAAAAAGAAAGAGAAAAAAAATAATTACAGGTAAAGGATTTAAAATAGTTTTTGTTGTAATCCTCCTTTTTTGCTTTTCTGGTGTCCTTGCTTGTAAATTTTTTCTTTTTTCTTCCTTTACTTTTCACCAGCTTACACTGTACATGTACAAAAAAAAAAAAAAAAAAAAAAACAATTACAGGTAAAGGATTTAAAATAGTTTTTGTTGTAATCCTCCTTTTTTGCTTTTCTGGTGTCCTTGCTTGTAAATTTTTTCTTTTTTCTTCCTTTACTTTTCACCAGCTTACACTGTACATGTGCAAAAAAAAAAAAAAAAAAAAATTACAGGTAAAGGATTTAAAATAGTTTTTTTGTAATCCTCTTTTTTTCTGGTGTCCTTGCTTGTACACTTTTTTTCTTTTTTTTTCTTCCTTTTCTTTACTCTGCATACACTGTACATGTGCAGAAAAAAAAAAAAAAAAGAAAGAGAAAAAAAATAATTACAGGTAAAGGATTTAAAATAGTTTTTTTTGTAATCTTCCTTTTCTGCTTTTCTGGTGTCCTTGCTTGTACACTTTTTTCTTTTTTTTTTTTCCCTTTTCTTTACTTTTCACCAGCTTACACTGTACATGTGCAAGAATTTTTTTTTTTTTTTAAAATACAGGTAAAGGATTTTAAATAGTTTTTGATGTAATCCTCCTTTTCTGGTGTCCTTGCTTGTACACTTTTTATTCCCCTTTTTTCCTTCCTTTTCTTTACTGTTCACCAGCATACACTGTACATGTACAAAAAAAAAAAGAAAGAGAAAAAAAAATAATTACAGGTAAAGGATTTAAAATAGTTTTTGTTGTAATCCTCCTTTTTTGCTTTTCTGGTGTCCTTGCTTGTAAATTTTTTTTTTTTCTTCCTTTACTTTTCACCAGCTTACACTGTACATGTGCAAAAAAAAAAAAAAAAAAACAATTACAGGTAAAGGATTTAAAATAGTTTTTGTTGTAATCCTCTTTTTCTGGTGTCCTTGCTTGTACACTTTTTTTCTCCTTTTTTTTTCTTCCTTTTCTTTACTCTGCATACACTGTACATGTGCAGAAAAAAAAAAAAAAAAAGAAAGAGAAAAAAATAATTACAGGTAAAGGATTTAAAATAGTTTTTTTTTAATCTTCCTTTTCTGCTTTTCTGGTGTCCTTGCTTGTACACTTTTTTCTTTTTTTTTTTTTTTTTTTTCTTCCTTTTCTTTACTTTTCACCAGCTTACACTGTACATGTGCAAGAATTTTTTTTTTTTTAAAAATACAGGTAAAGGATTTTAAATAGTTTTTGATGTAATCCTCCTTTTCTGGTGTCCTTGCTTGTACACTTTTTTCTTTTTCTTTTTTCTTTCTCTTCTTTACTCTTCACCAGCTTACACTGTACATGTGCAAAAAACCAAAAAATAATTACAGGTAAAGGATATAAAATAGTGTTTGTTGTAATCCTCCTTTTCTGCTTTTCTGGTGTCCTTGCTTGTACACTTTTTTTTCTCCTTTTTTTTCTTCCTTTTCTTTACTCTTCACCAGCTTACACTGTACATGTGCAAAAAAAAAACAAAAAAATAATGATTACAGGTAAAGGATTTAAAATAGTTTTTGTTGCAATCCTCCTTTTCTGGTGTCCTTGCTTGTACACTTTTTTCGTTTTTTTTTTTTTTTCTTCCTTTTCTTGACTCTTCACCAGTTTACACTGTACATGTGCAAAAAAACAAAAAAACAAAAAAAAAATACAATTACAGGTAAAGGATATAAACTAGTTTTTGTTGCAATCCTTCTTTTCTGGTGTCCTTGCTTATACACTTTTTATTCTCCTTTTTTTTTCCTTGCTTTTCTCTACTCTTCACCAGCATACAGTGTACATGAAAAAAAAAACAATTACAGGTAAACGTGGCAAAACGCGGTAAAACAAATCGAGGCAAAGCAGTGTTTTTGGTCTTTCTTGACTAAAAAAAAAAATTGGGGGGGGGGGGGGGGGGTATAATAACCCACTAAATAACATGCAAAAAAAGTGGCAAAACGCTAATACAAAAACATAAAAAAAACTCTGAAAAACTCACCTCCCAGTCACTCTGCTTTCTCCTCCTATCAGTATTCCCCTTGCACTGTAGCACACTAAATTGGCTCCTTGTGCTGCTCCTCCCAACTTCCAGTCTGTGACTGGACAGTGAAAAAAAAGCAGCACACTGATGAGCTCACTCTGCTCTCGCCTCCTATCAGTATACATCTTGCTCTACCAGTGATTGGCTCCTTATGCTGTTCCTCCAACTTCCAGCCTGTGACAGGACAGTGACTAGAGAAGTATTTTCTTCTATCAGCATGTTCTTTGTCCACACAGGCAGGTATTAGATCCTTGTACTGCTTCATCTGAGCCCAGGTTCCTCTGGACCCGCCTATCTGTATGCTTCTTGTTTGACAGATGATTGGCTCCTTGTTCTGTTCCTCCAACTTCCAGCCTGTGACAGGACAGTGACTAGAGAAGTGGCACAGTGGTGAGCTTACTTCTCTGTCACTCTGCTTTCTTCTCCTATCAGCATGCTCCTTGTCCACACAGGCAGCTATTAGATCCTTGCATTGCTTTATCTCAGCCCAGGTTCCTCTGGACCCAACCCAGCCTGTGACTGGACAGTGAAAGGAGAATGAGCTCATCTCTCAATCACTCTGCTATTTCCTCCTGTCAGTATGCTCCTTGCTCTACAGATGATTGGCTCCTTGCACTGTTTCTCTCACCTCCATCCTGTGATAGGACAGTGAAAGGAGAAGCATCACAACGATCAGCAAATTTCTCTGTCAAACCGAAACATTCTAGGGCAGCGGTAAAAGACTCTCCATGGTCCTGGAATTTTTGTGGGTTTGCACATTGTTGAAGTCACCGCAGACCCCAGAATGATAAGGGATTGGAAGGGCGTTTAGCTTTGTATTTTGTTATTTGTTGCTCTACAGCACACCCCATTAGCTATTCGTGCTGCTTCTTCCTCCCACAGTCTGAGTTCTGCTGTAGGTAAAGTGTTACTAAGCCCACAGCAGTACAATCAGTCTGTAGATGCAGTAAGCCATGCTTGTTATACTCACTGTGGAACCTAAGGGGTTAATCCTCTGCATTGTGTAAAAAGGCTGTTTGATCCTGTCTTCTCTGATCCTCCTCTTTTTTTGCTGTCCCCAATCCATCTGCCACGGTTTGAGCAGCAGTGGCAAGTCTGCACATGCTCAGTTTGGTGTGTATTGCTAGAGAGTTTTTTTTTATTGGGAGAGTGCATGTGATCGGCACAGAGCCAATCAGCATTGTCCACATAGAGGGTCAGGAGTCTTGTAGCCTCATAAGACAGTCAGAGGAGAATGAAAGCTCCTCCTACAAGCTTTATCCAGTGCTCTGCTGGACACTGACAGAAGTCACAAGACTGAGATATACTGCTGATAAGAAAAGGGATTTAGCAGTTTATATTTACTAAAATAATTGCATTTCCATGTTCTGTGTACTGTGGGAGACCAGATATAGTGAATGCAGGGTCTGGGGAGACCAGATATAGTGAATGCATGGTCCGGGGAGACCAGATATAGTGAATGCAGGGTCCGGGAAGAGCGGATATAGTGAATGCGGGGTCCGGGGAGACCAGATATAGTGAATGCAGGGTCCGGGGAGAGCGGATATAGTGAATGCAGGGTCTGGGGAGAGCGGATATAGTGAATGCAGGGTCCGGGGAGAGCGGATATAGTGAATGCAGGGTCCGGGGAGACCAGATATAGTGAATGCAGGGTCCGGGGAGACCAGATATAGTGAATGCAGGGTCCGGGGAGAGTGGATATAGTGAATGCGGGGTACGGGGAGACCAGATGTAGTGAATGCAGGGTCCGGGGAGACCAGATATAGTGAATGCAGGGTCCGGGGAGAGCGGATATAGTGAATGCAGGGTACGGGGAGACCAGATATAGTGAATGCAGGGTCCGGGGAGAGCGGATATAGTGAATGCAGGGTCCGGGAGAGCGGATATAGTGAATGCAGGGTCCAGGGAGAGCAGATATAGTGAATGCAGGGTCCGGGGAGAGCGGATACAGTGAATGCAGGGTCCGGGGAGACTGGATATAGTGAATGCAGGGTCTAGGGAGAGCGGATATAGTAAATTCAGGGTCCGGGGAGACCAGATCTAGTGAATGCAGGGTCCGGGGTGACCGGATATAGTGAATGCAGGGTCTAGGGAGAGCGGATATAGTGAATGCAGGGTCCGGGGAGACCAGATATAGTGAATGCAGGGTCCGGGGAGACTGGATATAGTGAATGCAGGGTCCGGGGAGAGCGGATATAGTGAATGCAGGGGCCAGGGAGAGCAGATATAGTGAATGCAGGGTCCAGGGAGAGCGGATATAGTGAATGCAGGGTCTGTGGAGACCGGATATAGTGAATGCGGGGTGTGGGGAGAGTGGATATAGTGAATGCAGGGTCCGTGGAGACCGGATATAGTGAATGCAGGGTCCGGGGAGAGCGGATATAGTGAATGCGGGGTCCGGGGAGAGGGGATATAGTGAATGCGGGGTCCGGGGAGACCAGATATAGTGAATGCAGGGTCCGGGGAGAGCGGATATAGTGAATGCAGGGTCCGGGGAGAGCGGATATAGTGAATGCAGGGTCCGGGGAAAGCGGATATAGTGAATGCAGGGTCCGGGGGAGCGGATATATTGAATGTGGGGTCCAGGGAGAGTGGATATAGTGAATGCAGATTCCAGGGAGAGCGGATATAATGAATGCAGGGTCCGGGGAGAGCAGATATAGTGAATGCAGGGTCCGGGGAGAGCGGATATAGTGAATGCGGGGTCCGGGGAGACCGGATATAGTGAATGCAGGGTCTGGGGAGAGCGGATATAGTGAATGCAGGGTCCGGGGAGAGCGGATATAGTGAATGCAGGGTCCAGGGAGACCGGATATAGTGATTGCAGGGTTCGGGGAGAGCGGATATAGTGAATGCAGGGTCCGGGGAGAGTAGATATAGTGAATGCAGGGTCCGGGGAGAGTAGATATAGTGAATGCAGGGTCCCGGGAGACCAGATATAGTGAATGCAGGGTCTGGGGAGAGTGGATATAATGAATGCAGGGTACGGGGTTTAGTAATACTTTAAGTAAACTTTACATGTCTTGTCTGTCCTCCAGCTCTTTGAAAGGAGAATCAGCTCTCCGATGAGCCTCTCCATCATTGTGCTTTCTCCTCCTATCAGCATGCCCCTTGCTTTGCAGCACACTTGACTGACTTGTTTTGCTGCTTCTTGCTACTTCAGTCTGAGCTCTGCTGTACAGGGAATGCAAGAGGCTGATGCCAAGCCAAATTTAAAGACTTGCCCTGCTTGCCACTAAAATATATATTTCAGGATGTATTCATGAATATAGAGCTACATAAATGTGTGTCTTTTATTTTTGCCTGGAATTCAGCTTGAATGCATCGGTCAGACATCCATAGCCAGGCAAGCTCATCTAGTATAGAAAGCAGAACAATTTTCGGATGACTCACCAGCGTGATGCCAATGCGCTGTGACCTGCAATCACAAATCAGGCTTTAGCTTTGATCAGTCTAAGCAAGTTATCTTCATCAAAGTAAATGCCGATTGGCTGCCGCAGGTTAATTGATAGACCAATAGCTGACAAATGAATGGGCGGGGTAGAGTGGAGAGTGACATGTATCAAACCGCTACATTGTAAGAAAAATACTTGCTGCACGCTACATTTCATTACATTGAACCTGAACTCCGGGAAAACTGCTACAAACATTCCTGAGCTGCTTTATTTATGGCTACACTCGCCCCCCAGAGGATCCCCCCCCCTTCCTGACCGGGCCGCTGTGTTACTTTAACTGACAATTGCGCAGTCATGCGATGCTGCACCCAAATTAAATTTACATCCCTTTTTTTCCCAGAATAGAGCTTTCTTTTGGTGGTATTTGATCACTTGTGCGTTTTTATTTTTTGCAGAGCCTGCAGCCCCCCATAGTGCCCTTATTCTCCAGGAGCGTCACACACTGCCCCTCAACCTCTCACAGTTCCACCCAGCCCCTTAAAGTGCCCCTCCCCCAGCCTACTGCAGATCTTCCAGCCCCCCATAGTGCCTCCAATCTCCAGCAGTGTTCCACATTGACCCCCAACCTCCCATAGTGTCACCTAGCCCTCCAAAGTGCCCTCCCCCCAACCTACTGTTGAGCCTCTAGCCCCCCTTAGTGCCCACAATCTCCAGCAGTGTCCCACACTGCCTCCTAGCCTCCCACAGTGCCACCCAGCCCCCTGAAGTGCCCTTCCCCAGCCTAATGCTGAGCCTCCAGCCCCCCTTAGTGCCCACAATCTCCAGCAGTGGCCCACACTGCCTCCTAGCCTCCCACAATGCCACCCAGCCCCCCAAAGTGCCCTTCCCCAGCCTACTGCTGAGCCTCCAGTCCCCCCTTAGTTCCCACAATCTCCAGCAGTGTCCCACACTGCCTCCTAGCCTCCCACAGTGCCACCCAGCCCCAGAAGTGCCCCCCATGCTACTGCAGCGCCTCCAACACCCCACGGCGCCTCCACTCTTCAGCAGTGTCCCACACGGCCCCCAACCTCTCCGAGTGTTGCAATGCTTCTCGGTCCTTGCAGCACCTTTCCATCTTACACAGTGCCCCTGTAAAGCCCCCAGCCTCCTGGAGAGACCCCCAGTTCCCTTCAAAGACACAACCCCCCTTCAGAGACACCACCCCCTCAGTTTTACCCAGCTTTCTCCAAAAACCTCATCTCCTACAAGGCCACCAAGCCTGCTAGAGAGTCCCCTAACTCTGTCCAGAAACCTTCCCTCCCCCCCCCCCCCACCCCCCACAATGACACCCATCCATAGTTTTCCAGGATTTTAAGACATATTTTATATACTTTTATAGTATAAGGGTTGTATGACTTTTTTTTTTCCTGTTGGGGCATTAAAGGTTTTGGAAGAATTTACTGGGCCTTGGTTTCAAAACGTTTGAGAACTGCTCTTGTGAAGCACTAGTAATGAGCCTTCCCAAGTTTTAATCGCCACCCTCTATTATTTTGTAGAGATAGGTTGCACAGCACAGAATCATGTAACCAGAGGCTGCAACCCAGGGAAGAAGCAATGTGAAAAGCTGACTGAGGATGGTTACCTTAGATGATTTAAAACTCATAATAGGAATATTCACACTCATATGACTGGGTGCCTTACAAGCCATTTTCATGCATATTTCCAGGTCTTTTCTATCTCATCCACTTACATGCATTTGAATTAGGCAAGCTCTTTTGCTCCCAGCATGCAACTTAGTTTCCTGCAGTGTATTCATCAGCCACATCACAAGCCATTTACATTCACCTTTAGATATGCACTGGCTCATTTATGACATGTTGCAATACAGAGATACAGGTCTGTGTGTTAAAAAAATATTCCTCAACGACCTTAAAACGCATGATGTTTCTTAGTGGTGCATCAAGGGACACAGGATGAAGTATTCAGCTTCATTGGGCTGTGCTGCTGTGTTCAGGGGATACTAAATAAAAAATATATATATATATATATATATATATATATATATATATATATATATATATATACACGGCTCCAAAAAATGAAAGGAAGATTTTGAAAACCACTCAGATCTCAATGGGGACAAATCTTATGCTGGATCTCTATCCTGACATGGACGGGGTAATGTGTTAGGAACGTAAGGACGCCCCATCGTTTGATGGAAATGATCGACCTACAGAGGACTGAATTCAAAGACACCCCGAAAATCAAAGTGAAAAAATGATGCAGCAGGCGAGTCAACTTTGCTGAAATTTCATTGCAGCAACTCAGAATGGTCCTCAGTAGTTTGTATGGCCCCCACGTGCTTGTATGCATGCCTGACAACGTCGGGGGAGGCTCCTGATGAGACCACGGATGGTGTCCTGGGGGATTTCCTTCCAGATCTGGACCAGGGCATCACTGAGCTCCTGGACAGTCTGAGGTGCAACCTGGTGGCATCGGATGGACCGAAACATGACATCCCAGAGGTGTTCTATTGGATTTAGGTCAGGCGAGCGTGGGAGCCATTCAATAGTATCAATTCCATCATCCTCCAGGAACTGCCTGCATACTCTCCTTACATGAGACCAGGTATTGTCGTGTACCAGGAGGAACCCAGGACCCACTGCACCAGGAGGAACCCAGGACCCACTGCACCAGCGTAGGGTCTGACAATGGGTCCAAGGATTTCATCCCAATACTTAATGGCAGTCAGGGTGCCATTGTCTAGCCTATAGAGGTCTGTGTGTCCCTCCATGGATATGCCTCCCCAGACCATCACTGACCCACCTCCAAAACAGCTAGCATGGAGATGGCTTCTTTGACAGGCAGCACTTTCCTCCATCTCCAAGCGCTTGCCCAAGACATCTCATGAGGAATTTAAGGGGGGGGGGGGGACTTGCCGGCTTAAATGTTCCATGTAAGTGGGCAACTGCTTGAAGATGGAGATGCTGATTGTCAAAATAGTCATTTCCTTGCCGTTGACCTCACATCTAGCCTTAGAAAGCACATAGAAAGATGGGGCAAAGCACTTCATGCATTTTCTCCCCTGGAGAACAGAACACATTAATAACAATGAAAGTGATAGTTCTTCTTTAAAGCCGAAGTATGGCCAAAGGTCTTTTGGTCATACTTCTGTGGGTCACAGCAGTGCACGTCTGTGACCCAGATTCAGCCGACAGTGGTCTAAAGTCCATTGTCAGCTGATGTCACAGAGCCAGTCCATGCTCTGCAGGGATCCCAACAATAATGTCAGGATCTGCACAGATGCCTGATCGGCAGCTGGCTCAGACTCTCACCCGAGCCAGTCACTCCCACCCATTACAGCACTCCAGTGAGCGTGGGAGGAACAGAGCACAGAGTAGTGACTGACAACCACCACTTTTGTATTCAGAGCTTACCCAAGAACTGAGCAATCAGTGGTCTTTGATCACTCAGTTCTAGGTGTAGAACCAGAGAGGGACAAATGCACCATCCACCTAGGTGTGTATAAATGTAAATTATTTTGAAAACCTGCACTTCTCTTTAAACATTTTACATTTGTTGGCACCATATGCGTGACCAATCTGGTTAATAAGTAAATGGAATTCAACAGGAAATGTGATTTTATTTAATAGCAGGGAGTGCCAGAGACTATGGGGCAATTATGCCGTTTCCCTTGTAATGTCAAAAACTTAATAAAGGAGTTATTATACACCTCCATTTTAGGTTAGGATATGATTAGAAGGTATAGTACTACCTTGCAGTGGCGTACCGAAGCAGGTGCAGGGGGTGCGGCCCGCACCGGGTGACACCGACAGCACGGGGAGACACCGGACCCACTCCATGAAATGGTAAGTTGTAAAGCAAGCCGACGATTCATCCTGTGGGATCGTTGGCTTTCTTTACAACTTACCTTTTCGTGGAGCGGGTCCGGTGTCACCCCGTATAGGTTGCATGCTGACGATCCCCGCAGGATGGATTGGATCTCCGCATTGGGGAGCATAATGGATTGGACTCTGATCCTTTATGCTCAATCCGCAGATCCGATCCATTCTGCGGGGATTGTCAGAGGGGGGTGTCACCAAGTGTTATCGCACCGGGTGACACCAACCCTAGGGACTCCCCTGCTACCATGGTAGGCTTGTGACATCTTGGGAGTTGGAGGAATCATGCCCCCGTTCTTTTGCTTTCTTTGGAATCTAGCTTTGGTCACCTGACTGTAGTGACCCCTTTTACAAATTTTATAGACGTTGGGGGGGGGGCATGAATATTACCTGTGATTTGGTTCAGTATTACGTAAGATTCCATTATTGGCACAAAATATTTAAAATTCAAACCTTTGGATCAGCGCTGCTTGATTACCGCACAATGGTTTCCGTATAAAAGTTGAAAAGATCTGCCTGCCTCAAGAAACATGGCTCCTGATATTAAAATCTTTTACAGTGAAGAACAGTGTTTGATGAATCCCTCACGGTGTGTCCATGCTGAGACCAGCATAAAACAC